TTTTTTAGAATCCATGTAGAAATGAAATCATATGGTATTTATTTCACTTAGCATTATACCTTTAGGGTTTCCATGTCACAAATGGCAAAACAGCATTATTATTATTATTTTTTAATGGTGGAGTAATGTTCCATTGTATATATGTACCATAACTTCTTTATCCATTTATCTACTGATAGACACTTGGGTTGCTTCTGCTGGCTACTATAAATAATACTACAAACATAAGTGTGCATGTATTTTTTCAAATTACTGTTCTCATTTTCTTTGGGTTGATAACCACTAGTAGAATTCCTGGGTCACAGAGTGTTTTTAATTTTTTGAGGAACCTCCATACTGTTTTCCGCAAGGGCTGCCCAAATTTACCTTCTTGCCAATGGTGCATAAGGATTCCTCTTCCTCTCTATTCTGAGCAATTGTTATTTGTCTTTGATTCTAATTGTTCTGACAGGTGTCAGGTGATATCTTATTATGGTTTTGATTTACGTTTCCCATATGATGAGTGATGTTGAGCATGTCTTCATGTGTCTGTTAATCGTCTGTATGTTTCCACTGAAAAAGTGTCTATTCAGGTCCTCTGCCCATTATTTAATGGGATTGTTTGTTTTTTTTTGGTGTCAGGTTGTAGAAATTCTTTATATATTTTGGATATTAACCCCTTTATCGGTTATATCATTTGCAAGTATCTTCTCCCATTCAGTGGGTTGCATTTTTGTTTTGTTGATGGTTTCTTTTGCTGTGCAAAAGCTTTTTATTGTGATGTAGTCTTGTTTCATGTGCCTGGGGGGATATACTTAGAAAAGTGTCGCTAAGGCTGAGGTACAAGAGATTACTGTCTGTTTTGTTTTAGGATTTTTATGGTTTTGGGTCTCAAGGAGTTGAAACTTAGATCCACACAAAACCTGCGTGCATATATTTATAGCAGTTTTATCCATACTTTTATATAAAGCTTATACACATAAATTTTATATTTCAGCTTTATAGCCCAGGCTTGTAAGCAACCAAGATGTCAGTTAATAGGTGATGGATAAACTGTAGCATATCAAACAGTGAATATTATTCACTAAGAAGAAATAAGCTGTCAGGTCATGAAAAGATGTAGAGAAACATTAAATGCATATTACCAAGTGGAAGAAGCCAATCTGAAAAGGCTGCATGTTCTATGATTTCCACTAGATGACTTCTGGAAAAGGCAAAACTATGGACACAGTTAAAAGATCAGGACTTGCCAGGACTTGAAGGTGGTAGGTAGGGGAGGGATGAATAATTGAAGCACAAGGGATTTTTAGGACAATGAAAATACATGATATATTCTAAATGATATAATGGTTAATACATGTCATTATGCACTTTGACCAAACCCAGAGAACGTAGAACACCCAACAGTGTGCAGTAATGTAAATTGTGGACTTTGGCGATTATGATGCGTCGGTGTAGCTTCATCAGTTTCAACAAATGTACCATTCTGGTTGGGAATTTTTTTTTTTTTTTAAGATTTTATTTATTTATCTGACAGAGATCACAAGCAGGCAGAGAGGCAGGCAGAGAGAGAGGGAGGAAGCAGGGTCTCCACTGAGCAGAGATCCCGATGTGGGGCTTGATCCCAGGACCCTGGGATCATGACCTGCGCCGAAAGCAGAGGCTTTAACCCACTGAACCACACAGGCACCCCTGTTTGGGAATATTTTTAATGAAGGAGGCAATGCATGGGTAGATGCAAGGGGTATATTAAAAAAAAAATCTCTATCAATTTTCTGTGATCCTTATTTGTAGATGACATGAAACTATACATAGAAAACCTTAAAGATGCCACTAAATTATTCATTTGAATAAATGAATAAATTATTCATTAGAATAAATGAATTCAGTAAACTTGCAGATAAATAATATACAGGAATCAGTTATATTTTGATACACTAATAATGAAGTACAGAAAGAGAAATTAAGAAAAAAATCCTGTTAACAATTTTACCAAAAAGAATAAAATACTTAAGAATAAACATAACCAAGGTAGGGAAGGACCTGTACTCTAAAAACTATAATCATTGATGAAAGAAATTGAAGATACCAACAGGTGGAAAGCTATCCATGCTCATTGTTTGGAAGAATTGATATCATTGTCTATACAACTCAAAGTAATCTACCAATTCAATACAATCCCTATCAAAATATCCATGGCATTGTTCACTGAACTAGAACAGATAATCCTAAAATCTGTGTTGAACCACAAAAGACCCTGAATGGCCAAAGCAGACTTGAAAAAGAAGAATAAAGCTGGAGCTATCACTATCTCAGATTTCAAGATATACTTGAAAGCTATACTAATCAAAACAGTATGGTACTGGCACAAAAATAGACACATTGATCAGTGCAACAGAATAGAGTCCTCAGAGATAAACCCATACCTCTATGGTCAATTTTAACAAAGGAGGCAAGAATATACAATGAGGAGAACACCATCTCTTCAAAGAATGATGTTGAGAAAACTGGACAGCTGCATGCCAAAGAATGAAATTGTACCACTTCCCTACAGCATATACAAAAATGAGGTAAAAATGAATTAAAGACCTAAGTATGAGACCTAAAACCATTAAAATCCTAAAAGAAAACATAGACAATAGTAATCTCTTGAACATCAGCCTTAGCAACATTTTTCTAGATTAGTCTTAAAGTTTTTGAAGAGAATATCTTTGCAAAGACCAGTAGACTGTATTTATGGAAGTCTACTCCTGGGCTTTCTCTTCTGACCATTGATCTATTTATCTATTCTATTGCCAATACCAGTGTCTTGCTTACTGTGGCTTTATAGTGAGCCTTGAGGTCAGGGAGGGTCCATCCTCCATCCCTGTTCTTCTTCAATATTGTGTTGGCTGGGGACGCCTGGGTGGCTCAGTTGGTTAAGCAGCTGCCTTCGGCTCAGGTCATGATCCCAGCGTCCTGGGATCGAGTCCCACATCAGGCTCCTTGCTCATCAGGGAGGCTGCTTCTCCCTCTGCCTCTGCCTGCCATTCTGTCTGCCTGTGCTTGCTCTCTCTCCCTCTCTCTCTCTCTGACAAATAAATAAATAAAATCTTAAAAAAAAAAAAATATTGTGTTGGCTGTTCTGGATCTTTTACCTCTCCATTTAAACTTCAGAGTCATTTTGTCAATATTCATTAAGTAGTTGGCTGGGATTTTGACTTTCATTACATTGAATCCATGGATCATTTTAGGAAGAACTAACATCTGAAGAATATTGAATTTTAATACAAATAAAAATGGAGTCACTCTTCATTTATATTCATTTCATCTTTGATTTCATCCTTCAGAGTTTGAGTTTCCTCTGTATAGATCTTGTAAATATTTTGTTAGATTTATACCCAAGTATTATATTTTTGGGTGTTAATATAAATGGTATTATTTTTAATTTTTAAATTCTACTTGCCCATTGTTTGTATGTAAGAAAGCAATTGACTGTTGGATAAAGGGCTTATTAGTTCTTGAAGCCGCCTTCTTTTTTTTTTTCTTTTTAGATATTCTGTATAGATGATCATGTCATCTGTGAACAGACTCTGTATACCTTTTATTTCCTTTTCTTGTCCTAATGCCTTGACAGGGACTTCCAATATAGTGTTGAAAAGGAATGATCAGAGAGACCTCTGTGCTTTGTACGTAGTCTTAGTGGGAAAACTGAATTTCTTGCCATTAAATACGGTAGCTGTAGGTTTTTTGATGATACTCTTTATCAAGTTGAGGAACCTCACCTTTATTGTAGTTCTTTCAGAGTTTTTTTTATCATGATAGGTGTTTGGATTTTGCCATGCATCAATTTATATGATCATGTAATTTTTCTTAAGTCTTAAAATTTCTTTTTCTTTCTTTTTTTTTTTAAAGATTTTATTTATTCGACAGAGAGAGATCACAAGTAGGCAGAGAGGCAAGCAGAGAGAGAGAGAGAGGAGGAAGCAGGCTTCCTGCCTAGCAGAGAGCCCGATGCGGGGCTCGATCCCATGACCCTGAGATCATGACCTGAGCTGAAGGCAGAGGCTTAACCCACTGAGCCACCCAGGCAGCCCCCAAGTCTTAAAATTTCTTAATCTGACTTTTAAACAGGATTTAGATATATTATCTCTTAGAGAAGTTATTTGAACTTCCTAAGCATTAGTTTCCTGTTAGGAACCATGTACGCAACTGATTTCTGCTGTTTTTTTTTTTTTTTTTTTAAAGATTTTATTTATTTATTTGACAGCCAGAGATCACAAGTAGGCAGAGAGGCAGGCAGAGAGAGAGGGAAAGGGAAGCAGGCTCCCTGCTAAGCAGAGAGCCTGATGTGGGGCTCGATCCTGGGATCATGACCTGAGCCGAAGGCAGCGGCTTTAACCCACCGAGCCACCCAGGTGCCCCAATTTCTGCTGTTTTTTTAACAGCAGAAATCAGTTGTCTACCTTATAGGTTGTGAGGACTTAAGATAATGCATATCAATGCTTACTTTAATGCCTGTCATGTAATAAACAATAATGATTAATTGTCAGCTGTCTTTGGCAAAGAGAAAAGGGATAATAAATGTAATAATGTTAGAAAATAAATCTCTGGGGCGCCTGGGTGTCTCAGTCAATTAAGTGTCTCCCTTCAGCTCAGGTCAGAATCCCAGGGTCCTGGGATCAAGTCCTGAGTCAGGCTCCCTGCTCAATAGGGAGTCAGCTTCTCCCTCTGCCCCATCCCCTGCTTGTGCTTGTTTACGCTCGCTCGCTCGCTCTCTCTCTCTTTCAAAAATAAATAAATAAAATCTCAAAAAAATCTCTGAAAAATAATGAGGTTAGTTCACCTAATGAGATGGGTCGGTAGGCCAAATAGGAATTTGAGTGGAGATTGTGGAATGTCTTATGGAGTATGTGGATAATTTTTAGAGTTTAAAATTGCATTTTATTTTTGGGTATATTAAGGGGAACAGTTGTGTTTTTAAATAGTATACATAAATCAGAATGGAGTTTGCTTTATAATAATTCCTTTTTTTGAAACAGATTCAAGATTTTTGGAAAGTTACCGCTGATTTCTCTACGAATCTCAGATAAAAAACTGCAAGGAATTCTGGAATTGATTGAAAGCATTCCGAAACCCACACCTGCAACTGAAACATATGCCCCTGCCAAACCATTTCAGGTAATGTTTTTACAAAATTGATAAAAATGCAAATTAAAGAAACTGGACAACTTTACCCACAAATTTTGGGTAAAATAATTTAATTCATTTTCAAGAGACCTTTAAAAATTAGATTTTAGCAGCACCTGTGCGGTTCAATCAGTTAAGCATCTAACTTGATCTCAGCTCAGGTCTTGATCGCAGGGTTGTGAGTTCAAGCCCGGTAATGGGCTCCATGCTGCAAATGGAGCCTGCTTTAAAAAAAAAAAAAGTTGGCGGGGCACCTGGGTGGCTCAGTGGGCTGAGTCTCTGCCTTCAGCTCAGGTCATGACTCAGGGTCCTGGGATCGAGCCCCACATCGGGCTCTCTGCTTGGCGGTGAGCCTGCTTCCCCCTCTCTCTGCCTGCCTCTCTGCCTACTTGTGATCTCTCTCTCTCTGTCAAATAAATAAATAAAATCTTAAAAAAAAAAAAAAAGTTGGGGCACCTCGGTGTCTCAGTTGGTTAAGTGTCCAATGCTTGATTTCAGCTCAGGTCATGATTTCAGATTGTGAGATTTGAGCCTTGCACCGGCCTCTGCACTGGGCATGGAGCCTGTTTAAGATTCTCTCTCTCCCCGCTGCCTCCCCCACCCTATGTTACTCTCCACCTCTAAAAAAAAAATTTTTTTTTTTTACATTGTAAAAGAGAAAATGATGAAAGAATGAAAGGTGCAAATCTTAAAGAAAATTATATGATAAATCTGCCTTTCTTCACTAGTCTGGCTTGTAGTCACTCTCCTCAGTGGTAACGCTGTTAACTACTACTTCTCTGGTTTCCCAAAAATGTTTATGGCATACGCTATGGCATGCTCATGTGTGTACATATACATATGTACTCTTATGTTCTTCAAATTTACATAAATTCCTGTCATTATACTTACTGTTCTGAACCTGTATTTTTTTCACCATTATCATATTTTATATACGTTAGAAATATCTTCATATTAGCATGTACAGATTTGCCTTTTACTTTAGAGCAATATAGTATGGAATTGTGCAAGTGTAACATCATCCCCTTTTGATGGACATTGACATTGTTATGAGTGCTCACAGTTCTACTGCTTTCAGCTTCCTCGTACATATATTTGGGTATATTTTTATCCATTGGATAAATGCGTACATGTGGAATTGCTCAGTGAATTTTAGGTTTCCATGAACTTTGCCAAATTTTCTTTTTTAAATTGAATACCAATTTATAGTCCCACCAGCAGTAAATGAGTGTTTGTTTCCCTGTTCTCATTAGTCTTAAGTATTAACAATTTAAAATTTATTCTATTAAATGAAAAAATGTTATATTGTGGCTTTGATTTGTATTTACAAGTAACATAGGACTCATGTTCATTAGTTTATTGGGTGTTTGACTTTCTGTTTTTTAAAACTGCTGTGTTTGTCTTGTGTTGTGGTTTTCCAATTAAAGAAATTGTTGCTGTTTGTCCTTTACAAACATTTTTTTCTTTGTTTTTCCTTGGATTCATTTATTTTTGGCATGCACAAGTGTTTGCTTTTTACATGTTCAGACTTATTAAGGTAGGATGCCTGGGAGGCTCAGTCAGTTAAGCATTTACCTTTGGCTCAGGTCATGATCCCAGAGTCCTGGGATCAAGCCCAGAATTTGTTTAGGTTCCCTGCTCAGAAGGGAGCCTGCTTCTCCCTCTGCCTACCTCTTTCTCTCCCCCCGCCCCCCGACAAATAAATTAAAATCTTGAAAAAAAAAAAGTCAAAGGTTTTCCTTCATGATTTCTCTGTCTTATTCTATGCACCTTATTTCTTATGAAGAAAATTTCAAGAAGAAGATATCCATTTGGGGCAATTGGGTGGGTCAGTCGGTTAAGCGTCTGCCTTCAGCTCAGGTTATGATCTCAGAGTCCTGGGGTCGAGTCCTGCATTGGCTCTTTGCTTAGCAGGGAGTCTGCTTCTCCTTCTTCCTCTGCCCCTTCCCACTTTCCACACCTTGTGCTCTCTCTCTCAGATAAATAAATAAAATATTATTTAAAAATCCAGTCATGTTTTTCTCTCTTTAAACATTTTGATATCTTTTCATGTTTTACTTTATTTTGAAATAATTTCAAACTTACAGAAAAATTGTAAAAATAGTATAAAGAACTTCATCAAACCCTGTGAGAGGAAGTTGCTGACATATTATACCATAACCCTGAAAAACAGTAGTGTTTTGTAGTATTTTTTCATAATCTGTTGCTGAGTTTTTTGTTAACAGGTTCTTTTGAAGAGGATAGGTTTTAAGTCCACTTTGTCAGTATTTTCTTCTGTGGATGAAGGTTTTTATATTCCAACTCTGGAATCTGCCTAATACAAGATCAAGATTTTTCCTGTGTTTTATTCTAGAAATCTTGTAGTTTTAGGTTTTATATTCAGATCCGTGATCCATTTTTTGTTAAATTTTTACATAGCGCTTGTGATAAGTTACTGTTTATACATTTGTATTTTTAGTCATTTCAGTTTCATTTGTTGAAAACACTTCCTTTTTCCATTGAGTTGAGCATTTTTGGGGGGCTCTTTTCTACTCCAGTGATACTCGTTTGATTTTTATCTATTCCCTCACTGATACTATAATGTCTTATTTACTACATGTCTTCATGGTAAGTATTATGGATGCATGTATGTATATATGTTTGCACGTATCCCCTTCTTCAGTGTTAATGAGAATTTTCCTGGGACTGTCTCATGAATTTGGTTCTTCCATCACTTTTATGCTATGTTGATGGCACCTCTGAGTTCTTTCTTGCATAATGTATATTGTATTTTAAACTTTTATTTATGTTTTCTTCTTAAACACTTCTAAGTTTTCAAAAGGTTGTCAAACCTACGGTCTACATTAGATGTTCTTTTTAAAATCCAATGCCTATATAAAAATAGGTAGAGAATAACTATGTAATATGTCTTATACTGAATTTCTGTTAGTGTCCAGCCACACATTTGGCAGAAGATTACTACATAAGGTCATCTGTTAACTATTTATATTCAACACTAGCCCAACTCTAGATTTTGCATATTTTTATCGTTAATCCTTATCACAAGCCAGCAAGTATTAACAGTCAATTATTTTGCTCAGAGAACAGACTCTTAAGTTAAATACTTTGCTAAGATCATAAAGCTTGTAGCTTTTAGCTTGCAGAGCCAAATTTTGAACTCAGATTTTTTTCTCTTTCTTTAAACAAATCTACAGCCCTACAGCTGACATTTTTTTCTGCTCTTTTCATGATGCTTTCCATATAAATGACATCGTAATCTGCAGGGACTTTATTTTCTACCTTTTCCAGTTTTCTAAGAAAGTTCAGTCCAAAATGCTAGATCATTACTAAGACTTTTAATTTAACTTGAAGGGGTTTCATAGGTTAGATAAAGAAGTTTTTTAAACAAAGAATCACTCCTTCATGGATATCTTGTTTGGCTTGTCTCAGAAATAAAGTTTCAGTCACAGGTCTGAAAGATCTTAACACCTAAATATCTCTTGAAACTAAATGTTTCTGTTTACTTCCTATAATTTTATTTTTCTTCTTAATTTTTATTTCAGCTTTATTAAGGTACAGTTGACTAATAAAACTATAAAATATTAATGTGTACATTGTGGTTGTTTAATACATGTCTATGTTGCAAGAGGATTTAACCTGTCTAGTTAATTAACACATCCATTCTTCACATACTTGTTTTTGGTGAGAACATTCAGTTCTACTCTCTCAACAGATTCCTGTTCCTCAGTACAGTGTTGTTGATTATGGTCACCATATTTTACGTTAGATCCTCAGCCTTACTCGCCTTGAAGCTGAAAGTTTGTACCCTTTTACTAACGGCTCCCTATTTCCTCCACCGTATAGCCCCTGGCAACCACTTCTGCACTCTTGCTAGGAGTTCGACCTTTTTGTTGTTGGATTCCACTTATAAGTGATACTGTGCAGTATCTTTCTCAGTCCTGGTTATTTCTCTTAGCAGCATGCCCTCAAGTTCCTTTTATGTTGTCACAAATGACAGGATTTCCTTCTTTCTCATGGTTGAGTGATTTACATTATATTTATAAATGTGTGTGTGTGTATATATATATATATATATATATATATATATAATATGTATTATATATATTATATAAATGCCAAATAAATATATATATATTTTATATGTATTATATAAATGCCATGCTTTTATTCATTCACCTGTTTGTTGGACACTTTGCCCACATCTTGGCTATTGTGAATACTGCGGTAAACATGGGCGTGCAGATCTCTCTTTGATATCCTGTTTTCATTTCCTTTGGAAAAGCCAGAAAAGTGAGATTGCTGGATTACATGGTAGTTCTAGTTTTAGTTTCCTGAGGAACCTGCCCACTATTTCTTTGGTGGCTGCACCAATTTATAGTGCAGGATTTCCTTTCTCTCCAGATCCTCTCCAATACTTGTTACCTGTTGTTGTTTTATTTTTTTTTTGTTTTTTTTTTTTCTAAAGATTTTATTTATTTATTGGACAGAGAGAGATCACAAGCAGGCAGAGAGGCAGGCAGAGAGAGAGGAGGAAGCAGGCTCCCCGCCGAGCAGAGAGCCCGATG